AGAAGTGTCGACGCCAGCTATGGTTGAGTGTCGTGTAGCGGCAGCAACAGCAGTGCACCGCTCCATTGTTGCTATCGCCAAGCGCGTGGACTTTCTCTTTTGCTTCGTTAGTCAATTTTCACCTGCGTGCGTGTACGGGGGAGCCTCAAAGCTTCAAGATTACGTACGTACTTCATTGGGATATACAGTCGCGATCGAAAGCTCGTTGACCAATATCGGCATCTTCGGACACGCGTATACGTGACATTACACCTTCGAGTGTCTCGAGCGAAAGACGCTTTTCCTCGTCCTCAGAAGGAGACCATAAAAAGCAGCTGTGGAGCTTTGGAGCGTAGGCTAGCTTGATCTTTTCGTAAATTCATAGCATCGTACTTCTCTTCTCGTACTTGGACGTTCGAGTGCGTCTATTGTGTACACGTTACGCACGCTTGTATTAACTCGAATATATATATATATGGCTGACTCTTTGACAAAAAATCGCATCGAACGAATGACAATTTTTTTTTCTCTTCGTTGATCGTATAATTCATATAGAAGAAAATACTTGACAAAGATTTTATTATAATTACCAAAGGCGCAGTTTAGCAGCGCAAAGCTCGCAAGCTCTAGCAGATATCTATCTCTAATATCCCGCTTTTTTTAAAGCAATAAGTCGCGAGTAACGTAATACCCGGTAAATTTGCAGGGTGCTGCCCCTTCGTTGCGCAGATATATCGGGATGATCGACACGCGAAACGCGCCACGTACATTATTAGGGGGTTGCTCTCGTCGCGAGCTGTACCTTTATACACAGCGAGGGAGAGAGAGAGTCTGCCTGCCGCGGAACTGGATGCTCGCTCCATCTCTGTCATTCGTGTACATGCTATTACGTACACACACACACGCACATAGCAGTGTATACAGGATCCTCGCTCGCTCCCGTCTCTGTTGCTCTTCCGCCGCCGCTGCTGCTGCCGCCGCCACCACCGCGTGTATCTCTCGCTCTGTCCTTCGCGCGCGCATTCATCCGCGTGGCGCATCATCCCGCTCGCTTTCGCGTTCTCTCTCTATCTCTCATACACACACACACACACACACACACAGAACCCGGGGCGGGGGGATGTACAAGCTGCTGCTCTATACCCGGCAGCAGCAGCCGCCGCCGCCGAGCACGGGACCTGGGCTTCGCAGCAGCGCATCGCAGCCTGCCTGCCTGTCTGCCTGTCTGCTATAGCGAGCTTTTGCGCCTTTGTGCGCGCACAGAGAGAGGAGAGCCGCCGGTACATCAAAGCTTTGCGACGAGCGAGCGAGAGAGAGAGCGAGAGCGAGACTAGTTCCCGCTTCGGCCTTCAACGGCCTTGTCACAAGCCGACGCTCCAGTCATCGTTCGGTAGCGAGGAGCTCGCGTAGTACGCGTCGCTGTCTCTGGCTGAGCTATACAGTCGCTCGCCCATTCGCGGTTATTTACAACAAAATACCGCAATCCTGGAATCCACGGAGGTAGTGTCGTCGTCGTCGTTCGTTCGCGATGAAGAAGCCGGAGTGAAGAGTTCGTATCATGTCGCCGAGCTGCCGGAGTAGCGGCAACAGCAGCGGCAGCGAGGTAGAGTCCACCGACGATCAGCTACAGCCACTTATACCCTCGGCCACGAGCTCCGAGTCGACGGATACAGCAGCAGCAGCAGTGGCAGTGGTAGAAGCTGGCCGAAGGAGGCGCGAGCTAGAACGGACGGATCGAGCTTCTGAAGCTGTGGTACACTACGATGGTCGATGCCGCGATTCGCCGCCGCGCATGCGCCCCAAGCTGCTGCTGCTGCCGGTGGTGGCGGCGACGGCGGCGGCGGTGGATACCAACGGAGGTGCAGCAGACTTCGATCGGTGGGTGGAGACACCTCGACGCGGACTCGAGGATGCCTACCACGACGACGAGCTGGCCATCGATTCATCCGAGCGCAATGTTGGACACGAGGAGCAGGACTCGCCCAAAGACCTGCGACAAGGTAGCAAGTCACGCTCCTTACTGGAGCAGCAGAGCTTCCTCGACGGCAATGGGAACGACAACGTTTACCTGGCCCACGTGCTGTTCCTCGACTGGCGGGACCTGCCCGGTCTTCGCTCGACGGCCCAGGGCGGCGCCCCCGAGCGCGTCTGGCTGCTCGGCGCCACGGATCGCGCGGGCCGCCATCGTACGCGACTCCTGGTGGTGGGCCGCGAGTGGCGACCCGCCTGTCTGCGCGACGTCAACATGATCAGCCAGCCGGTGGTGTACGCGGGCGGCGGCCGCGCGGCCCTCACCGCCGACCTCTTCCTGTGGTGGCTGCGCGAGGAGTTCGTGCCGAGCGCGACCTCGCTGCACCCCGAGGGCGTCGTGCTGGCGATCGAGCGCGACGACGCCGACTATCTGCTGCCCGAGGCGGTGAGGGATCTGGGATCGTCGATGGTCAAACTGATCGTCGTCTCGAGGCAGGAGCACGACGTCGAGTCGAGATTCGTCGGTCAAGAGCTGCGCGCGAGGCTGGCCGTGTCTCTGCTCTTCGAGGCCCTGTGCAGCAGCGAGCTAGACGAGGTAGCCGACGACGATCATCGTCGAGAGACGGTGATCAAGCACGTCAAGGACTTCTCGCTGAAGGAGGCCTTCGCCGAGCTGCATCGGGCCTGGCTGGCGATCAGGCCCAAAACCTTCAGTCTCTGCTGGAAAAGCAGTCACGAGGAGGACGAGGAGCAGCATCGTCGGCAGCAGCTGCTGGACGAGCTGAGACGTTTCTCTCGGCTGGCGGGCTTGGACGCGACCGAGGCCCAAGTACAAGATTGGCTCCGGGACAAGGAGAGCGAGCAGGCTCGATTCCACTGTTCCACCGCCAAAAGCGAGCCCGTCGACGAAGAGGACCACCGGACCGCTCAGCTGGACTGTAGCCAGGAGGAGGAGGAGGAGGTCAAGAAGAGGAAGATGGTGCCCACGGCGAGGGAAGCCATCGGCCATCTGTCGCGGGTGCTCGACTGGATGGAGACCGAGCCGCTGGATCCGGGCTTTTTGCTGGCCGTCAGAGCGATGCGCTCCACAGCCACGTTAATGGTAAGGCCTGACTGTCGTCGTCGTCGTCGTCGTCGTCGCTGAGAAAACTTTATAGCGCTTATCGATCGCGGCGGCGGGGGGGAATATTAAAACACACGTACTATACGAGCAGCGGGAGGATCTGCCCGAGTCGAGGCTGCGAGGGGAAATGTGTACGGGGCGCGTTGGGGAGAGAGAGAGAGAGGGTCGAGAGGAGGAGAAGTCAACGCGCTCCCTCCGTCGGCTCGTTGTTACTCACACCTCTCGTTTTCTCTCTCTCTGCCTGCAGTACAGATCGTCGTCGTCGTCGATGTGTTTTGGGCTAATTAGCTTTGTCAAACCAAGCGCGCGCGCGAGCGGAGCAGTCTATACAGCACATCGACGATTCTTGAATATACCTCATTCAAATTGGTAAAACGTCGAGATGAAGACGATTGACGACGACGACACGATATATATATGTACATAGAAAGCCCGCGCCGCGTGCCAATAATGGTGCTTCAGCCCTGCCTGCTGCTTGGCGCTGCTGCAAGGACTCAAGGGCGCAGAGTAGTAGAGAAATAAAGAGACGGTGCCGACGGTAGAATTTCCGAGCTTTGTAAATCTCGTGCTTGAGTTAACTCGACGTGCAGCAGCAGCAGCGTCGTCCTCGTCGCGTCCACCCCCCCGCCCTCCGCGATCGCGTACACTTTTGAGTAGCAGAAAAATTATTCATCTTCTTCTTTCGCTTTCTGTGTGCAGGGCTCGTTTAAGCGCTGCGTCGAGGCCTTTTTTGGTTTTCGAGGAAGCTTATTAACAGCCCCTCGTAGGTAGGATATCGTCGTTGAGACACGATCGACGTTTTATATATATAATATATGCGAAAACGTTTATACAATGCACACGCCTCTTTCTCTTGTATACGTATAATATATAGCACCTCCTCCGACTCTCGGCAGCACCTCTAAAAAGCTCCAAGCTTTCTCTCTCCTCCTCCTCCTATATACATATAACCATCGTTCGTTATCTGTCTGCTCGAGTGCGATGAATATGAAATACAGAAAAAGAACCAAGTATAAGAAAAAGAAAGAAAAAAAAGGAGGAAAAATCGCTGCTCGTATACAAGCATCGCTGCTGCCGCTGCTGTTGCTGCTGCGAAGCAATTACGCGGACCAGGGCGATAGAGTAGTAGTAGTGGCGGCGTCGTAGATGCGATTTCGTTATCGAATCTTTGCTCGCTGTGCGAGGCGACAAAGATGGGTGAGCTTTTTTTTTTTTATTTTATTTTTCCATTGGACTAGGAGAGAGAGAGAGAGATCATATGCGCTGGCGGGTGGGTGGGCGAGCGAGCGCGCGGAGAAAAGCATTTTCAGCAGGCGGAAGACGAGATCAAAGAGCTGCTGCTGCTGCTGCTACCCTCCCCCTTCGCTCTCTCTCTCGTGGCTTACGCGTCGCTGAAGGCCTGACTATGTATGTATGCTGTATATATACCTTGTACGGCATGCGTACGTGTATGTGTGTGGCTATATATGCACGTACACGGACTCACGGCTTGTTGGCCGTCGCCGCCGCCGCCAACGACGACTACGACTACGACGACGACGACGACGGGGAATAAAATGCAAAAGGGGTGCCTCGTCGTCGTCGTCACCGTCGCCGCTGAACCTTCCAATTTACTATGTAAACTCGGCAGAGCATGGGCGACGTAATAGACGAGCTAGCGAGCCAAATATATATATCCATAAGCAGGACGTACAGTATATAGCTCCCGCTGAGCATTCACCGAAAAACTCAACGACTCGAGCGAGTTTTTCACCCGATAATGCAAATCTTTTCTGCGAGCTTTTTCACCCTCCTTTTTTCGCGTCGCGCACTTTATAGCGGATCGAGACGCTTAAATATATTTTTTTATTTTTTTACTCATCCGAATAAAGCTCTCGAACTACTACATGTAATAATCGTATTTTTTCTTCTCTCTTTCTCGTTGCAGGCAAGCAAAATGGGTCTGGCGGGGGCGCATCCGAGCGGACTGCCGTTTTTCTGTTCGAACGGCGATCACTTGTCGCAGCCACCGCCGGCGCACATGGGCATACCGCCCTACGGAAGCCTGGACGCTGGGAAAGCTGCAGCGGCTGCCGGTGAGTACAGTAATGATTATATCTCGAAATTTCGGGGGATATATATTTTCGTATACACAATTTCGCGGTTCATCATCGTTTCCTCGTTTCAACTTAATTACGTCGCGGGAAAAGAATCCATATCTTTTTTTTATATAGTCAAACGCTGGATGGGTATTTAAGCCAGAAGACACGCGCGAGCGGCCTCGCTATATATACGGCAATACAAATAGACTCTCGGGTTCTCTCTTCGCGAAATTGTCCCTGCGCCAGCATGTTTTATAAATATGTACGCAGAGAGCCACTGCACAAGAGCAGCAGCAGCAGCTCGAGGAAAGAGAGAGAAGCTGCTGCTGCTGCTCCGACGAATTGGCGTTGAGTAGAGAGAAGTAGAGGAGCGAGAGAGCTCACCATTAGGCTAATCAGCGGGGCGTGTGCCTCATACCGGGTGCAGAGCGAGAGAGCAGCGCGCTTCCCAAGTACTACTATATATACTGTAGTGTGCGGAAGCGGGTGGAACACTACTGCTGCTGCTGATGTTGAGTGGGGTCAAGGGGTCTTCGTTCGTGGGTGCCTCGTCATTTCTCTGAGCAAACTACTCCTCGTGTGCCGCCAACACACACAGCCACAGCCGCAGCAGCGCAACCCCGAGGGACCGACGACGACGACGACGCATCCATTCTATTCCGCATGTGCGCGTTATATGCATGGCTCTCTATCTCTCTCTGTAGAAAGAGAGAAAAGTATTATAGCGCACTCTTACTTCGAGCGAAGTACGTATATATACTCACCCGACTTCGTTACAATCGATACTGCAGCTAGAGAGCAAGCGAGAGCCAACGAAGAAAGCACACGAGAGCTTAATTAAAAAAAGCTTTCGCAGCTTTCTCTCAGCAGTGTGTATGCATTTATGTAAGGTATATATCCGTCGTACCGCGCGTACGCGTTTTAGGTTCCGCGTCGTGCAGCAGCAGTAGCTTCTTTTATTCTTTGTCTACCTCGATGACCTTTTCTGGCCTGTACACACTGTGCAGCACGAGCTACCAGCAGCAGCAGTCCCACGTAGTCTAATTAACTCCGCAACGTGTCCGACCAGCCGTCCTATACGTGCCTGCCCACGCGAAGTTAAGTTACACACGTAGGATAGCTACTCTATACGAATGTACCAAAGCTTGCTGCTGCTCCATACAGTAATGAAAAAAGAAGAACAATCATCATAATGATAAAAGAGATGAGAAGAAGCAAAAAAAAAGAATGAAAATGCCGCGTTAATGGCGAATTATTAGCTGTGCAATTCTCATCAGTATAAAGAGATGCGACGCGAATGTCGAGACGAAGGCACACGCTCGCGCGCTTTGATTATGATGCACACACGCAGCCTTTTTAGGCTGATCATCTCTCTGCGCTCCGTTTTCGTTCGCAGTGCAGCGAGACTTTTTTCTTAGCCGACGGTATATAGAGATGTACGTACGATATAACGCGAATATACAGACAAACGAATGGCGAGTCCGAGAGAGAAAAAAGCACACGCGACATTCGCGATAAGTAACTGTTATACGTGCATACGAAAATATATATACAGGAGAGCAGGGGTATACATGTATACGCGAAGACGCTGGCTCGAGGAAAAGGAGCGTAATACTACTCACGGAGTACATTATTATTGTCTATGTGCGCGTACGCGCGCAAAAAAAAAGAAAGAAATTCGTCAAAAGAGAAGCTGCTTGCAGCGGGTCTGCTGAGGGTCGGACGAGAGTAGCGCGCATCTCTCGTGATGAACGAAAAAAAAGTAAAAAAAAAAGTAAAAAAAAAACTGCGGGTCGAGAGCCGAGTGCAGCGCGCGTACGTGTACACGACGATGTGTGCATATAAGCCGCCACCGCCTTGGAGCTGATTAATGAGCCCTCGCGAAGTCGCGCGAAAAAAGCTCGCCACCTTTTTTCGACGTACGCAGTAACAGGCGTTGCCGCGATGTTACGCGTCGTATATACAGCACACGCGTCGAGCAGTGCGCACAAAAGAGGGACGCGGGCGCGTACGATGTAATGGGTATAGTACAGACGCGCGCGGCGCCAACAAGCTCGTCGCTCGAATATGACACGTACGTATTCACGCGTGGTGGATCTCTCGCTGCAAGCTCACGCGCGTGCATATATGTATTCTCTACAGCTGTCTCTTTCTCTCGGCGTTTATAGGTACGCGCGCCTCGTTTTCTATACCTTATAGTCGCAATTCGCGCAGCTACCGCATGTATAGATATAATAATGATAATAATGATCGTGCAAGCTCAATTAGTCGCTCGACTATACTTGCGCGCTCGTTAACGCGATTCGTCGTCGTCTTCGGCGGCGCTTTAATTCGCACGAGTGGTCGTCGCGGTGGTGGCGCCCATGGCTGCGACGTGTAATTTATAATTCATGTATAATAATATATAAAAGGCAATTCACCGTGTACCAGTGCTTTTATGTGTATTTTATAATAAAACACCGAACGCCAGCGGACCAACTAATAGCTCGTCTAGGCTACTACTATTACTATCTGTAACTCGAGTTGTATATAATTACACTTTATACCTCCGCGATCTGCGCGCAGTTAACCGTAGATATACGTCTCGAGTCGTAATATATACGGAGGAGACGCATAATAAAGCTCAATTTTGAGTCTCGTTCGGCCGATTAGCTCTCGCTCTCTCTCGGTAAAGCGCGCGCACATTTTCGTCGTCGATTGCTCGTCTATACACTACGCGAAAACCTGACAAGGCAAAAAAAAAAGGTAAAAAGTGTACGTGAAGCGTGTGGTGGTGTGTGTATGTAGAGGGGTGGGTGTATGGGTAGGAGGATGGTGGAGAGGCGAGCTTCGCACGGTGGCGGCGGCGGCTGCTACGCGCATTGGCCAAAACGTAAGAGTAATTTTCCAGCTGGTGGGACGCCGATAATGGGCTTGTAGAGTGCCGAGTCGACTGGAAAGTGATTAGGCATACATGACGGATTCGCTCAGGATATTGCTAGCTGCCACTACTACCCTCTTATATATATTTTATACATGTGAACGTAGGTATTCATATAGTATATGTGTGTGTGTGTGTACCCTCAGCGATCCGGAGCTTTATTTCTCTATTTCGCTATTTCGTCTCTCTCGTCGTCTCTCACATCGTTTTTCTTCGACTTTTCTTTCGAGCGAATAGTAATAGTACTATACCTACTATGCATATAGGAAAAACCCCTGGCGTGGCTGCTGCTGCTCGCTGATCGGTGAGCGCGAGGTCCTTTTTTTCTCTGCATTCACGATATTCCTTCGATTGCGCGCACTTTACTCCCGGGCCGCATTATTGTAAAGTACCCGCGCGCGCGCTCGTTTTCTTTTCTTTTCTCTCCATCGTGCGCTCGGCGGAGCTCTCTCGGAGAGCTTTTCGCCCAGCGCAAAATTTCCTTCATTTTATATACCGGGGCTCTTTTCACCGGTGTGCGCTCCAGCCAGCCAGCCAGTCGGACGTCTCTCTCCCTTTTTTTCTCTGCCAGTCAGACGTGAAGACGTGAGCTGCGAACGACGAACATGTATATATAGCAGCAGCACCGCAAGGAAAATTCCTTTGAGAGCCAGCGACCTTATTAAAAATACTTGTAAACGCGCAGCAGCAGCACGCCTATATATGTATTGGAGTGGCGCTGTGCTCCGGGGGGGCGTAAGTTCCCTGGGCGCAATTGGATTTTGTAATTGACGACGACGACGACGATTGCAAATGCCGCGCACGTGAAACCTAGAGTATATTATATAGCAATTTGAAGGGTGTGCGTATTATATAATAGGAATAATAACGCGTTGGCGAGCTACTGCACTAAGGCAGCGGTCCTGGGACTCGGTCGCGCCCACTACTACTGGCGAATCGATCCGTGTACGTGCCGTATTATATTTATACGATGTATATATACCACGCTTATAACATAATACAAAGACACCAAGGCAGCTAGCTGACGACGACAAGTGGCTCGATCCCGGAAAGCCACGCAGCAGCAGCAGCAGCGGCTCGGTGGCTCTCTGCTATAATGTACACGTGGAAAATTGCTTATACCGTAGTGCGGTTGATATACCAACTGCTGCGTGGGTCACGTGAAACCGCATTTAGTATATAATACTCGAATCTGAGTTGTAGCAGTATAGAAGAAATAGCCACGCGCGCTCGTGCCGTATTGGCTTCGTCGTCGTCGTCACCACTGCTGCTGCGTGCGTTTTCATAAACGTCGACGACTTACGAAGCCAATTAGGCACACCAAGCTCGCAGTAGATCGCCCAATGGTCGGGCCGGTCTAGGTGTATACATATACGAGACTCTCGGACTTTGTGTGTGTGCGTGCGTTATACGCGTGCCCGTGCGACGCAGGAGACTCGCTCGCCAGCTCGTGCTGCGATTGCCAGCGGCAGCTAGCTTTGACTTCTCGTTAGCGCCGGGCGTTTTCTATATATGTATTACCGTATATAATAGACGCCTGCTATAGGCTGCAATCGAGACTATATACAATGAAGTGCGTGCAGCTTCGTGCGCAGAGCTTCGAGTTCGTAAGAAGCGAGCGACTTGGTAACGCTTTATAGAGAGAGCTCTGTACACGATATAGCTGCCGCGCGAGAGAGAGAGAGAGAGACGCTTAATTAAGTCGCAGCAGCTTTTCCCTCTTCGAAATTTCCGCGCGCGCAAGCTCCATAAGTATACTCCGTTGTGTATTATAGATCGTGCGTCAATTGCACGCGCTCGAGCACGTGCTGTTGTATCTTCTCGATGTAGTACGGTAGTGTAGCCTAGCAGTAGCTTTTCTTCGTCGCGGCGAGCTTATTTACTTTGCAATTTCATTTATGTTCCTTTGCGGATCAAATTGATTTTTTTTCTTGTTCTCATTCGACGCCAATCGAAAAGCTCGCGTTTTATAATAATAAAATGGATTACGTCACATGCGCGCGCCTCCTGCAGTGTCAACGACCGATCTCTCGAACGCAACAAGCACGTACATATCACACGCATGCCTCGCGCGCAATTTCATCAGCGTGTAGCTTGAGTAGCATCACTCCTTCTTCTCTCTCGTACTCTCTCGAAGGAGAGATTTTTTATTTATACACGCGCAGACGAGCGTGTACCGAAGCATAATTGTTGCATATACCGGGGCGGTATATATAATTGCCGAGATACATACTCACGCGGTAGACTTGTATTATAACGGCGCGACGCGTCTCCTTGCGTCGTGTCGGCCGCGAAAAAAAGGTGCGAAAAGCAGCGATCTCCTCTCTCGCACCAGCACCACCACGCGTGAATCAGGTAACGAGCCGCGGAAATATGCTGCGAGCTGCCAGGTATATACTACATGTATATGTGTGTGTATAGTCTCCACCTTGCAATTCGTGTCCGACAGGATAAACGCGCCTCTCTCTCCTTCTCTCGTTCTCGCGTGACTCAATCCCTGCATGTGTGTATGCATAAGCGCGCAAAAGTAAGCACACACGATGAACTTAAAAAATATATATATATATGGGTCAAAATAATACTTTCTTGCAAAACCGTGCGCACGTATGTCACCGATCTTGACGCGCTTTTGGTATGTTATAGTACATGGAAAAAAGGTCCCAAAAAAAAATTTTTAGACCCCCTCCCCCCTCCTACCCCCCACTTCCGGTATAAACGTCCATTTTCGATCTATATTTTTTCTGAGGATATGAAGCAAGTAACAAATCTGAAAAAATTCATAAAAATACTGTTCCACAATCCAAACAACCTTGAATTTTTTCAGATTTTTAGAGTGCTTCAGGCCTTCAGAAAAAATTATTGAAAATTTCAAAAATCGAGATACGGCAGTTTGAGCCGATGTAGTACTCGGAAATTTTTTCAGTTATTTTTCGCATTAAAAAACATAACCTCAATTTTTTTCAGATTTTTTCAGAT